TCCTGTTTTGATCCTGTAAGCTATCATCAAAGATGTGACAGTGATCTGGATTAAACATTTAATCTGCTTTTCTGTAAATTAAGCCTGAGCCTATGATATCAAATTGTCTTTGGGGAGACTCTTCTGTATAGCAAAGCTCTAATTGGTTCAGCTGGCTGTTATCTATGTACAGTAAAACAGCGTGAGTTCAATTTGGTGCCTCTCAGAGGGAGGTGAGATTTCTATCTATCCCCTTCATTCACAGCTTAATTCAATTGGAGGGCAATTATCGACCGCCCCAAGGCTTCAAGATCCTCATTGGTTTCTGTTCCCATCAGGGAGTCTCGCAGTGTAGGATCCCCCCTGACTGCACCGGGTGATGTCTGTATCGATGTGCTGTGTGTAAGACACCAGAGGAAGCAGCAGCAAACAGGCAAGAAGGCGCTCTCAGTCACAACCTCGAGAATCAAAAGATTCTTAAGCTGGATTCATCTGACTTGTTTAACAGCATGAAGCTTTAAACAGCAAACTTTTATCCTTTTGGAATAAGAATCATCAAACTTACCACATGACAGATTTTGCCACAGACACCCAGAAAATAAAAACAAGCTCAAAAATTCATTAAACAAAAATCTAAATATCAACAAAACCAACTAGCCTACAGTTAATTTTTTCGTTCCCATTTTGTTTTCTTCAGTGAGCCAGAAATCGGAGCCATGTTTTTAGTTAACATGATCTGGAATGGCACCTGTAACAATGAAAAGTGATTAAATTTGGCCCATCTACCGTCTGACTTCATGTTTTTGTGCATCCCTGGACTAGTTTCAGCACTGCTGCTGTTGACTCATTGCTCAAGACCGCAAACAATCACAAACATAAACATCTGTGTCAAACTGACCTGCCTTATCAATTTAGTCCTCTGGGTCAGACTGTCGCTAAATGCAGAGTTCGACATCCTCTCAAAAATAAAACTGAGCAAAAACATTGAAGTGGCACTGGTGATTTACTTTTTGGACAAAATATTCTTAATGCAAACTTTGCACACCTTAGGTCTGACTCGCACAGGCACAGAGACGTGCTGCAAACCCCATGGAAACCTATGGTTCCAAGGGACAAATGTTGGCGAGTACTCTGAGAAGAATTTGGAAATAAAACCTAATTCTAAACCTGCAAATCGATTGCAATAGAAGGTCCCAGCTTCTGTAAAAATCTGCTAGTTAACTATGAAAATTTAAAAAGTATGATGCAAACTACAAACTAAGAGCTCTTTTTTTTTTCCCCTTTACTTTTTTGGAGTTTCACAAGTGATTCGTAAGTAGTCCTGCAGTTTGTATTAATGAGACAGTACAGGACAGCAAGCCCTCACCAACGAGTCAGGCAATTCACATTTTTACCAAGGAACCAGTAGTTACCACCGGTCCAGTAGTCCAAAAGACAACCACATTGAAGGGTGGATTTGCCAAATTTTAGTCAGACATATTTATTCTTATGGGTGTAGTCCTAAACTCTTTGATCACACCTTGCATTTTTGAATATTTTGGCTAACTGGATCCATTTAAAAAGAGAACCGTGTGAATATGGTCATTTATACAAGAGAAATTGTGTTATTAACACAAAATCTAATGTTCACATTAGGGCTGTGCGATATGACCAAAATCTCATATCCCGATATCAAGACATCTATTGTCCAATAACGATATAAATCACAAAAATTTAACATTTTCTGTAAATTCTGTGAATCTCGGGCAGCTCGACTTGCGTGAAGTGTACCTGGAGTCCAGTGTTTTAACCGATGCATGAAACGACATAAGTCGTAACGGCCGCCGTTTTCTTTGTGAGTATTTATTACACGGCGTGCTGCGGGGAAAAGCCTGTTCTAACGTTTTAGTCTAAGGTTTATTTTTTAGCACCTGACGGCTCTTTGTTGCTTCTCATCCGTAAATAATCTGCTCTTTCACGTGATTCAGTTTATTTCGAAAAGTCTCAACACATGAAGCAGAGCTCTACATACCATCTCATGTGTCTCATCTGACAAAGTAAGTTCCCCTTCACACTTAATCACTTTTATTATTAGTAAGACAGACACCAAGCTTTAAAGTTCCTTAAAATGTCTTGTTAAGTCAAATTACGAGAAAGAAGAACAAAAGAGCAACTTAGAGCAGAACATTTGGTATTTAATAACAGCCTGATATCACACCGAGACTGAGAAAATGATTAATGTACTATTTAATTAGTGAGGCAGGCTTATAAGCACTTTCTGTTCAGGAGCATATGGATTATTGCCTTTTGTGCTTTATTCAGCATTGAGTACATGGTGGATTTCTTTTCGAGTACCTTTAACATGCATTATGTTGGGTTTTTTTCTTCCCTAAAAGCTGCTCATAAAGCCACTAGTTTTACCAGCCAGCTTCAATAAATCAACACATTTTCATGAACAAGTTCAAGTTAAATAAAAGTCTTAATGTACTCTTGTATTGTATTGTCTAGATTCGTCTGAAGCAACAATCCTCCTACCACACAACACACCTACAGGAAAATGTTCCAATACATAATAAATGAAGTGACTATTAAAGACAAACGGGGCTTTCAGCGAACACAGTGGTCACGTATACCATTTCCAATTTGTTATTCTTATTTTCTGAGATAGTTTTATATTTTGTCTGCATTCTAGAGACATGTGCTCTCAGCATGCCGTCAGCTACTGATAAAGTATTGGTACAGGCCTGTGAAGCAACAAGAAATGCGATCCTGTACCACTGATTACAGTCATTGCACCTTCAGAAACACACCGCAGTCCATTAGCAGTGGGACACTGACAGATTTTTCTTTTGCTGTGCTGGCTTTGTACTGCAGCACATTCGATTTGAAATGAAAGAGAAACCGAGGGGTTCATCTATTGACTTTTCATATACAACCTCCAACTTCAGATAGTGAAATGTTTCCAGTAAATAAAAATATACCAAGCGATGTCAACAGTGAATGTTTTAGAGGATTTTTATGCTGGATCAGAGGACCACACACACACTCCATGGAGAAAAGGACTGAGCCACCTAAACATTACATCTGCAGGAGCTGCTCAGCAATAGAAACTCATGACATGAAGGTCCCAGCTTTTTTATTATATGTTATATATGTTAATGGCAGTTAATTCTATTGCAGTACCTTGCTTGTATTCAGTGAGCTCTTTCGACTCACTCTTTCACAAATGTTTGTGAAAGCAGACTGCATGGAGAGATGCTTGATTTTATATATCTGTAGCAACGGGATTAAGAACACCTGAGTTCAGAGATTAAGAGGTGTGGCCTTATAATTTTGCCCAATATAATATATATAGGGTCATTGGTGGTGACAAAGACACATCAAATTATTGCCCTCTTTCTCCATTTGTGTTTTAGCATCTTTCACCGTGTTGTTTGGATTTTAAATAGCAAACAGCTTAACAGGTTTGCTCTGATTGCTCCTGTGCATTTCCCGATAATGTTTTGGTGTCGTTTTGAAAGATCAGTGAGAAAACAACAATCATTGCTTCAATATAAGGACTCACTGATGTCAGCATTTTATTCGTTTCCATCTTAGCTGGGACTGCATAAAAAGCACCAAGAGACAATCACAAGTTAATTAACACATAAAACACCATGCATGAATGCTGGCAAGCGTGTCAGCCACTTATGTCGATTACAGAGTAGGCTCTGCGAACACTCACAACAGAAGTCGAAATCAGCCGTTAGGCCACAGTGAAACCACATCTAAAAACAATTCAGTTGTTGGACTTCTCGCTGTGACTGTGAAACTTGTTTCTGTTCTCACTAAGTGGCCAAAACATATCAGTAATGTATTGATGGTCTTACAAGCGAAGTATTAGCAGATTTCCCAGAAGTGGATTCAAAGTAGTCCTAATGAAGGCCACTGAATAAAGTTTATAGTCTGCAAGAAACCCTGAATTCACTATGAGTGAAATCAGCTTTTCAGACCAAGTTTCAACATTAAACCCATTACAACCTTAACTGTATGTGAGGGACCATTGGAACATTTTATTTAAGAAAAGAAAAAGTCCAAACTACTGTTCTTGATTGAACAATGTCTCAGATGCAATATTTGCTGACTCCTCTGTATGCAGATTCTTACTGTAAAATTTAAGCTGCTGTTTGACAGCACTGAGCTTTCCTTCGGACCTCGACAATTTCTAAACCTAAAATATGCAACAGATGACTCGGACTAACAAAGTGAGACGAGTCAAGAATGGTGCGTCTGTTTCACTCTAAGTGCAATGGAGTCTCTTCTTTCAGCTGTCAGCTCAAGCTAAAACTTTCAAAAGGTGAACTTCTCGGCTCAGATCGCTTTTCTCTCGACCAACTGCTGAGCTGACAAAAACTTTCCATCTTTCAGCCGATGCTTCTCTGCTCTCCTGCTCCTCTCTCTCTCCTTCACACACGCACATTACACAAACCTGCACAAATACCCTCACTTTTCTGTACCATTTTGTCTCATGAGCACAGCGACACTGAAGCTCAACTCCCATGGCAATTGTGAAGTATGTGCATGAAAGCATCCAACCTGTTTAATTCAAATAAAGAAGAAGTGCTTCAGGCACAGCAGCCCCCAATGCTCAACATTGTGAAGAAGGAGAGTTTGCAGCCAGTAAACCAAATTTGTAAAGATTGACAGTACTAACATGCAAACTCCAACACAACAAGCACTTGTGAGGAGTTGTAATGATCCACAAACTCACTGCATTTGAAATAACCAGCAGCAAGAAGCAGCTGATAATGAGATAGCATCACAACTTACTTCTTCTAAAGTGTGTGCTAGCTAATCTGTTTCAAAACACAATAAACACTGCATTAACAGATGAAAATATCCAAGTCTGCAAGGACATTACAGTTTAAAGGTGAGAACCTCTTTGCATGGAATGCTAATGCACGGAGCACGAAAAGCATTCAGACCAAGAAATTGACCTTTAAAGATTTCAAAGCCACTTAAAACTACAAAAAGGTGAAAGAAACATCACAAATCAATCTTACTTTGAGTAGTCTTCATTATCTCTGTCACAGCGTGAGTCCTTATGTTTCTCCCAGTCTTTGCCATGTTTACATGTCGTCAGCAGAATAATATCTTCCCCATTGTGGATGTGATACAAAGCATTCCTGGTCTCCGAACCTATACCAGTTAAGTACCTTTTCCCTTTGAAAACCAGCTGGTACTTCCTGGAAGGTGGTGCATCGTTAAGTGTCAGATAACCTATGCCCCCTCCTTTTAGCGGATGATCCTTTGAGAATAGAGGGATGGAAATATCATAGTTAGGTCGGAAGTTGACAACATCTGCACTGGCCTTGGCCAGCATGGCCTGTCCCACCTCAAAGCCCAAATCCTCAGTGTAGTCCGGCCAAGTCCCAGAGTAAAGGTTGAATATGAGGTGATTCCTGCCATCGTTCCACGTGGGCAGGTTCTGGATACGCGATCTAATGTTTTGGACGTACTGCACTGAGAGCTGGTCCCTGTCCAATGTGTCCACAGCTAAAATAAAGAGACAGGCCCTCAAAGGGTCTGTGGTGTGGAACCGGGACTCTTCAATGGAGGTCAAGATCTTCTTGTAGGTCTCTGAGATCTCGCTGCCTCTCTGTTGAGGGTAGATGTAAACCTTGAATCCCGACTGGCAGCGAGCAAAGTCAAAGCAGGTTTCCATGCGGCAGCGCTTGTTCTTGTAGATGTTGTCACGGATCGCCCGTCGTTCACGAGGGGAGGTGTGCTGATGATGGAGCTGAGGGGTGTCCTCCTGTATCCACAGAAACAAATGTATCTATTAACATCACACCAATGTTTGTGCAGTACAGTCAACTCTCCATTGAAAAACAAATTCCAAAAAAACCTCAGAAACGAATAAATAGTTTGCACTCAAAACTGCATCTCTGACCTAATGGGATTTCTAGATAGTGACGCTTTTAAAAGTTGTCTCCTGCTGAAAACTGCTTTTGAAAATTCATGGCTGGAAACTGCTCCCTCATCATTACTGACTGGCCTGTTGCATTACTTGCAATCCTGAATTCTTCAGCTGGTAATTTGTGCTTGATTTCCCCAAAGCAATGGTGCTTAGCCATCTATGCTTGTAATCCCTTAAAGCAAACTAATGTCTATGCACAAGAACTTGCATATCTGCTTAGACAGCAGTATGTGAAAAGAAACAAAGTAAAGCAGTCTAGTTGGATATGCAGAAAAGCCACAACGTGACACGCTGCATTGATGAAATGAATTGGTACTCACTTCGCAATATCCACAGCCTTTTCCCCTTAATTCTGAATATCGCTGTAACTTCCTTGAATTTAAAATTATTTTTAAAGTGTTTTTGCCTTCCTAAAAGTTTCCTCTCTCTTCACTTCTTTCTATAACACCTACCACCGCCAACGCTTAACACTAGGCTATTTTCAGCATGAATGCCTGGTAAGAGCTCAGCCAAACAGAGATGTTTCGTTTGCAGATATTTGATTTGAATGAAAGAATCTTTTTTCACTGGTAGAGAAAATACTAAAAAAAAAAACAACAACATCATAGTGTTATCATCATCATCATTACATAATTCCCCATAGGGATCAATAAAGTATTGTGATTCTGATCTTGTGACCCCCCCCTTACAACTTACAATCACAAAAGCTTTGAAACCATCCTCCTTAACTCAGTTTTACTGTTCTGTCCTGTTGTTGGACTTTCATTTTGATCACTAAACGCTTATAAATTGGACTTTTTCACTTCTTTTTGTTTTTACTTAAAGAGCTTTCATTGTTTCTTTTCTTATAAATCGTTCCAGTCTACCTCCTGCTCTCCTCCCTCCAAATACGGCTCCAGCAGCTTGGTCGACTCCGGCCAGTGTCTGGGTGGTCTGGATGGATTTCTCTGGGGCAATGGCTGGGGCTGGTAGTACACTTCCTTACTTTGGCGGTAGTACTGGTATTCTTGTTGGTGGTACTGATGATACAGGGGGTACTGGGGAAACTGATGATACTGGTATGGCTGCTGTTGGAACTCCCCAATTTGCAGACCCCACAGATATATGAGGAAGAGAAGACCGGCCCCCACAGACACAAGCAGGTACCTCTTCTTGGCCTGCATGTGTGCTGTAGGGGGAGGAAAAGGAGGAGGTGGTGGGTCTGGGGAGGGAAGAGAGGAGAATAGGGTGGAGGTTCACAATAAAACGAGGTGGGCAGCAGGTGTGAGAATAGTGATGGAGCTGAAAACGGATCAACTTAGAGATTAAAATAAAACAAGTATTAATAAAAGGGAGTAAAAGCGTTGACAAAAGGATGCCAAAAGAAAGCAGGGAAACGGGAACGAGGAAATGACGAGGAGAGGGGTTGCAGGGAGGTAGATGCAGGTCGGCTCTCTACCCACAACTCGGCATTTTGGGTTTTGGCGTCACTAAAAGAAAACATAAATAGAAAATTATCAATGAAATAAGATATCGGAGTTTCTGAGACAAATAAACATTTTTTAAAATAAATAATTGATACAATATTGCACGGAAAAAAATCAGAATAACAGCGTAGAAGCTCTGTGAAAAATATTAAACCATATCTGAGCACCTTTACTCAACACAATACACGTCATAAATACACAAAAATCTGCCTAAAGACACGGCATTAAAATAATAAAAGCCCAAGCTGATTTGCACACGTTAATTTTGTTTTGATATTTAACTTTTTCAAAAAGTTTTTGTTTTTTGCCAAATGTGACATGGACGGCTCAGTAGCGCTTCTGACTTTCTTAAATAGTATGCAGAGCCCGGTGTTCGCTTAAAAACTGAATTGCCTGATAACGGTGGCTGTTTCGACATCATCGTCACAGCGCAGGGTGTCTCGTTAGGGGCGAAAGAGTGTCGCTTGATGACAGGTTCGCCACTAAAATGCAGCATTTCTGAAGTGAGTTTGCAGCGAGCTACGCGTTCAACACATGGGCTGTTTTTACCAGGAAAACCATCTCTATTATTAACTCTTTAGGAATTTCTACCTTACAAATTATATTTCATAACTCTTTAGTAAGCGTAATTCCTAATTGAATCCTCTCACCTGTTTGTATAGAACACCTGTGGTTCCAGGAAGTGTCCGCTGCTCTCCCCTCCAGCCCGTGGAGGAATATCCACTTCGGAAACACATTCTTCATGAACCCTCGAACTGTAAATCCATTAGCAAATGACACGCTATGTTGAAACCACGTGCGGAAGGAAATTCACAGAGCTCACAGAGATCCACTATGCGCTGCCTTCATGTTCCGCCGCGTCCCAGTCACAAACTTTCCGCGAGACAGGACCACAGTCCCGGCGGAAAACACAACACAGCGAGCTGTGAACGCGATAGGTTCCCACAGTGAGAATTCAAATGCACACTCATCTGCCAGAAGAGCCGCGATCACAGCGACAGCATCCATCCAGAATTAAGTCGGTTAAACAAGGCGCGTGCATCTCCAATCAGCATAAGCCATGCCCCCCTCTCTCAGAAACCCACAGCAAGAGAAGACCCAAACTTTGAAATTGAAATCCACATCCCCCCCTCTGTGCGCTGCCGCTCACAGTCAGAAATGAGCAGAAATCATCATCATCCCAGGTAAGTTAAGGAGACGCCGGCGCACCTGATCTGGAGAGATGCGTATCAATAAAATCCTTTCAGGAGCGTCTTCGACCGGCGGGAGCGTTTCTCTATGGAGTAAAGCAAATGGATCAAATAAGCATCACAAGAGAACACTGATGTTCTTCTGGGCTATCAAAACGAGAATACGGGGTTCCAGTAGCATTTCCATCCTCACGTTTCCATCCTGAAATCCTCAACTGGATCCGAGCTGCTGCACCGTACAGCATCCAGCAGCAGCAGCAGCAGCGCTGATAAGCCAGACAGTAGCAGGCTGGCAGACTTGGGGGCGATCGGAGTATGCACGGGGAGTCTGTTTGCTCCGATAAGGTGCAGGAGCCCGCCATAATTCAGGATCTCCCAGTTTGCATTTGTAAATGTGTTTGTATCTGGTTAATGGAGCATGCAACAAAAACACAAGACGTCCCAAGAAATTACTGAAATCACAGATCACGGGGAAGTCCCAGAGGTGCACTCACAGGTCCTCTGGGTCATTCCTGCTTTCATTTTACAAATCAAACTCCATTCAGAAAACTGCAAATGTTGGACTTTAAAAAGTTGTAAAACACGACTTGTTGCAATAGTACAGTTTAACCATGTGGGATGCATGTCTTTTACATCTTGTAGCTGTTTCAGCCAACGTCACTGAGTTCTGTTTAGCGCTCATTTATTATATTTTGACGACACGCTGAAATTGCAGGCAGTAATTTGAGGAGTCTGTGCGAGTTTACGCCATACCTGTGCATCTTAAGGTTAAGATAGCGTATAAAAATCGTGCAGGGATTAGTTACGTCTCGGTGTTTTGCAAACATGAGAACTTTTAATTAACTCGTGGAATCGCTCAGTGAGTCCAATATTGGGCCCAATTATTCAACTTTGACCATCTGGTCCACTAATCTATGTGTCTGGCGCTTAATTCATGTAGCTGCTTAAATTTGTATTGATGCAACTGATGGAATAAAATTAATTTGCAAAGGATCTAAATAGATGTCATTATCTCATAAATTAGGGTTATACAGATGTTGTGAAGCCGCAACGCCACAAATGGTTGGTGCAGCAAACAGCGCCATCTTGTGGCAATTTATTTCAGCCTACATTTTTAAAAGCAGCTCCAGGTCTGTGTTATTCATATAAATCTGGCAAAAATGTAGAACTTTGTAATGATAAAAACCAAATAACTGGATCTTCTCGGGACCAAACAGTACTGGAAGGCAAGTGAGCTTTTTACAGTGAGGCATGTCAAACAGGTTTTTCAAAATAACAGCTCAAACTATTGCCGTTTTGGAACATAAATGGACCGTGTTGAAAGGAGCATCCACGCTGCAGAGGCTCTGCATACCGATTTTCAAAGCTGTGCCAGACTCCTTCAGGCAGGGAGAGGCACATGTCTGACAAATAATTTAGCTATAACTGCATATGGCACTTTAATATTAATCCACACTCCCTCTGATGCTGAGCGGTGATAGAGACATTTATGTAGAAGTCGTGGAAGAACAGAGAGAGCATAATGCAGTAAACATCTCTCTCTTGCATCTTCTGCTGTGCATGCTGCAATATGCATCAGGTATTCAGACTTTTACTTTTCATTTCTTTGGTAAATTTATATTTCTTAGCTCTTACATTCTCTTAAAGTGCTCAAAGTTTAGTGGTCAGAGTGGTTTGCGGATTTTACTCTTAGATTTGATCAGTTCTCCCCCCCCTTCTTCATGTACCCCATTAATTTTTTTTTTTTTTTTTAAATGACATCAGAAACAGCAGTATGCGACATTACGTGATGGCAGAGCTTCAGTTCATCCTTTGTCTTTTTTTTTTTAATAAATAGGACAGGGGGAATGAATGAGAGAAAGAGGGGGAGAGAAAGAAAGAAAACCAAAGGGGAGAAGAGACGGTGAGAAGGGGGGGGAAGAGAGAGAGAAAAAAAACAAACAAACAAACAAACAGAGGAGACAGCAAACAACAAAGAGCAACATAATAATAGAGAAAAGAAAGCACCATCACAATAAACTAGCTAGTCATAGATATCAATAGTTACTAAATAATAAACGATATTGTGCAAGATAGACAGCGCACA